GGTTACTACAATGAAAAGACCATGACTGCCGCCATCTCCAAGGTTGAGAAGGCCATTCCTGCTGGCAGGGGTATTACAGTCAACTTGATCTACGTCAACCCGCGTGCTATGGGTTGGCAGATTCCCCTCCTGGCAAAACTCAGGGCTGACGGAGTTCCCATTGAGGGTCTTACCATTGGTGCTGGTGTTCCATCTATTGAAGTCGCCAACGAGTACATTGAGACGCTCGGAATAAAGCACATTGCTTTCAAGCCGGGTTCGGTTGAGGCTATCCAACAGACCATCAACATTGCCAAGGCAAACCCCACTTTCCCTGTCCTTCTTCAGTGGACCGGTGGTCGTGGTGGTGGTCATCACTCATTTGAGGACTTCCACCAACCTATTCTCCAAATGTACAGCCGTCTGCGCAAGTGCGACAACCTCATTCTTGTTGCTGGTTCCGGCTTCGGTGGCGCTGAAGACACCTACCCATATCTCACTGGATCCTGGTCAACCAAGTTCGGTTACCCACCCATGCCTTTTGATGGTTGCTTGTTTGGTAGCCGTGTCATGACCGCCAAGGAAGCACATACATCCAAGATGGCTAAGCAGGCTATTGTTGATGCTCCGGGTCTTGAGGACAGCGAATGGGAAAAGACCTACAAGGGCCCTGCTGGTGGTGTCATCACTGTTCGCTCCGAAATGGGTGAACCCATTCACAAGCTTGCTACTCGCGGTGTCATTTTCTGGCACGAGATGGACCAGAAGATTTTCAGCCTTGACAAGGCCAAGCGCGTTCCCGAGCTGAAGAAGATGCGCGAGTACATTATTGAAAAGTTGAACAAGGACTTCCAAAAGGTCTGGTTCGGCAAGAACAAGAAGGGCATGTCTGTCGATCTTGAGGACATGACCTACGCCGAAGTTGTTCAACGTATGGTGGAATTGATGTATGTCAAGCACCAGTCTCGCTGGATCGACCCAAGCTTGAAGCGCCTGACAGGCGACTTTATCCGCCGGTTGGAGGAACGTTTCAGCAAGACCAGTAACGAGTCTCTAATCCAGAACTACGAAGAGCTCAACGACCCCTTCCCAATGCTCGAAAAGGTCTTCAAGGCTTACCCTGAGGCTGATGACCAGCTCATCAACGCTCAGGACGTGCAGCACTTCTTGCTGCTCTGCCAGCGCCGCGGTCAAAAGCCTGTTCCATTTGTTCCAGTTCTCGACGATACCTTTGAGTTCTTCTTCAAGAAGGATTCTCTTTGGCAATCCGAGGACCTTGATGCTGTCGTGGATCAGGACGTTGGCAGGACATGTATCCTGCAAGGCCCTATGGCTGTCAAGTACTCTACAAAGGTTGATGAGCCGATCAAGGAGATTCTTGATGGTGTTCATGAGGGCCATATCAAGTACTTGCTCCGCGACATCTATGGTGACGATGAGTCAAAGGTCCCTGTCATTGAGTACTTTGGCAGCAATCTGCTCGCTCCCCCCCAGGGCCTGGAGGTTGATGGCCTCACTATCTCAGAGCTTGAGAACAAGATCATCTACCGTCTTGCTGCCGCTCCTAACGCCACCATGCCTGAAGTTCATTCATGGCTTCAACTTTTGGCCGGTACAAGCTATTCATGGAGGCATGCCTTCTTCACTGCAGATATCTTCGTACAGGGTCAGCGCTTCCAGACCAATCCGACTGCACGGATATTCGCGCCCACTCGTGGTATGATCGTCGAGATTCAGAACCCCAAAGAGCCTGCCAAGACTAGCATTATCGTCAAGGAGCTGCACACTGGCGGCAAGCTGATCAAAACAGCTGATGTCAGTCTCACAAAAGACAACGAGATTCTGCTCAACCTCTACGAAGAGCGCACTGCCCTCAAGCAGCCAGTGGCGTTGCCTTTCCGCTTCAATTATCGTCCCGATGTGGGTTACGCGCCCATTCACGAAGTCATGGAGGCCCGCAACGACCGGATCAAGGAATTCTACTACAAGATCTGGTTCGGTGATGAAGCCTGCCCATTTGATGCTTCTGTCACTTCGCGCTTCGATGGTGGCCGTGCCACTGTGACAAGTGAGGCCATCAACGATTTTGTTCACGCAGTCGGCAACACAGGCGAGGCTTTTGTTGATAGACCAGGCAAAGAGGTTTTTGCGCCTATGGATTTCGCAATTGTCGTTGGCTGGAAGGCTATCACCAAACCTATCTTCCCCCGCGCAATTGACGGTGACTTGCTCAAGCTAGTGCATCTTTCCAACGGCTTCCGCATGATCTCTGGTGCTGAGCCTCTCAAGAAGGGCGATGTACTTGATACGACTGCTCAGATCAACGCTGTCATCAATCAGGACTCGGGTAAAATGGTCGAAGTTTGCGGTACCATCACTCGCGATGGCAAACCGGTAATGGAGGTCACTAGCCAGTTCCTATACCGTGGCGCGTATGATGACTTCGAGAATACGTTCCAAAGGAAGGTTGAGAAGCCTATCCAGCTGCACCTAGCTACCAGCAAGGACGTCGCCATTTTGCGATCAAAGGAGTGGTTCAATTTTGAAGAGCCCGAGATTGACCTGCTTAACAAGACTTTGCTTTTCAAGCTGGAGACTGTTGTTAGGTATAAGAACAAGACTGTCTTCTCAGACATTGAGACCCAAGGAGAAGTCCTGCTCGAGCTCCCTACCAAAGAGATTATTCAGATTGCTTCGGTCGATTACCGATCAGGTACCGCGTTTGGAAATCCTGTTATGGACTACTTGGAGCGTAACGGAGCTGCAGTCGACCAACCAGTGCTCTTTGAAAATGCTATTCCGTTGCACGGCAAGACACCTCTGAGCCTCAAGGCTCCCGCCTCCAACGAGAACTATGCTCGTGTCTCTGGCGATTACAACCCCATTCACGTTTCACGTGTCTTCGCCAGCTATGCCAATCTCCCCGGTACCATCACTCATGGCATGTACTCCAGTGCAGCTGTCCGAAGTTTGGTTGAGACATGGGCTGCGGAGAATAACGTTGGCCGTGTCAGGAGCTACCACGTCAACCTCGTTGGTATGGTCCTTCCTGATGACATGCTAGACGTCAAGCTCCAGCACGTTGGTATGGTTTCTGGTCGCAAGATCATCAAGATCGAGGTCAGCAACCAGGAAACTGAAGACAAGGTTCTGCTTGGTGAGGCTGAGGTTGAACAACCCACAACATCCTATGTCTTCACTGGTCAAGGTTCCCAGGAACAAGGCATGGGTATGGAGCTCTACAACAGCAGTCCTGTTGCTAAGGAGGTTTGGGACCGTGCCGACAAGCACTTCATGGACAACTATGGTAAGTTCAATACGCTAAGACACTTTCTGTCCTGTCTAATCCTGAATAGGTTTCGCTATCACGAACATTGTGAAGAACAACCCGAAGGAGTTGACCATTCACTTTGGTGGACCTGTCGGCAAGGCTATCCGCCAGAACTACATGTCTATGACATTCGAGACAGTCGCTGCTGACGGCACTATCAAGTCTGAGAAGATTTTCAAGGAGATTGACGAGAACACCACATCGTACACTTACCGTTCACCAGCTGGTCTACTCTCAGCTACTCAGTTCACACAGCCGGCTCTGACCCTCATGGAGAAGGCGTCCTTTGAGGACATGCGTGCCAAGGGCTTGATCCAAGTCGAAAGCACGTTCGCCGGGCATTCGCTTGGTGAATACTCCGCTCTAGCAGCCATGGCTGAGGTCATGCCTATCGAGAGTTTGGTTTCGGTCGTGTTCTACCGTGGTCTTACGATGCAGGTTGCTGTCGAGCGTGACGAGACCGGTCGTTCCAACTACTCTATGTGCGCTGTCAACCCTAGCAGGATTTCTAAGACCTTCAACGAGCAAGCGCTTCAATATGTTGTTGAGAACATTGCTGAAACAACCGGATGGTTGCTGGAGATTGTCAACTACAACATTGCCAACATGCAGTACGTCGCTGCTGGTGATCTTCGCGCTCTTGATTGCCTCACTGGCGTAACAAATTACCTCAAGCAACAGAAGATTGACATTCAGGCGCTTATGCAAACTCTCTCGCTTGAAGAGGTCAAGAACCATCTAGTTGAGATCATCAAGGGGTGTGCTGAGCAAACAGAGGCCAAGCCTAAGCCTCTCGATCTGCAACGTGGCTTTGCTACCATTCCGCTCAAGGGTATCGATGTGCCCTTCCACTCGACTTTCTTGCGTTCTGGTGTTAAGCCGTTCCGATCCTTCCTGCTCAAGAAGATCCACAAGACATCGATTGACCCGAGCAAGCTGGTGGGCAAGTACATCCCCAACGTGACTGCGAAGCCATTTGCGTTGACCAAGGAGTACTTTGAGGATGTGTACAAACTTACCAACTCTCCCAAGATTGGCAACATTCTAGCCAACTGGGAGAAGTATGAGGAGAGTGGAAAGGAAGAGACCAAGACTGAGGCAGCTGCCTAAGTTTGGTGACGATTATTGCATGTTGTATTGACTCATAGGAAGCCCAGATGAGCAAGTAGACAAGGATAAAAAAGGAAGGCGTTTTGGGAGACAAGTGGGTAGATGTATATGATGTGGATTTTGGTTTTGATATCCAGGCTTTGGAGAGGCTTATGCTGTATGAACTTTTACCCGTACGACGAACGTTGAGTAATGCATTCGTTACCATCTATGAGAACGAATTTTCTGTAATTTCTGCATGTGCGCGGTATATCCAGAATTCGACTTACGTCCATTTCAGGAAACAAAAAGAATCGCGTGACACAAGAACCAAGACCAAGACCAAGCGACTCTCCAAACACCACTTTCGCCATTTTGTTATGCTTTGAGCAGTAAGGCCCCTTGAATTCAAGCCCAACCACCCGGTGTCAGTCCTATATGCCCTAGAACTTTTCCATCCAAACTCAACACAGAAAGCTATGAATAAGCATAGCTTAGAACCAACAAAGCAAATGAGAGGACAAACAGAAAGGGGTGTACAAATGACCCGGAATAAAGATATAAAAGAAAAAAGAGGGAAACAGAGAAAGACTTGGAAAAACTACCTAAATATATTCCTCTTTCGAGTAGTTCTACTACTGCCTTCCAGCAAGTGTGCAGAGGAAACTGAATCCGCCATGCTGTTTGATGTAGCAGAAGGTAGCTGAGGCATAGTATGTGCGTGGATGAGGGGCGGAGCCGCCTCGATATGTCTTTGGCCGGTGTACGGCGTGTGTTGCGATTGGTAGGGCGGCAAATGTTGTTGTTGCCAGTTTTGCTGATACGGGTTATGGTACCCTTGCTGTTGTTGCTGATGGCCCATGTACGAGTTCGAGGCTACGCGATGGGGAGTTTGCGGCATGTAATCGCCTTGCGAGTGTTGTGATTGTTGCTGCTGTTGCTGCTGTTGTTGTTGGGAACGGAGGAGGCCAAAGGCCCAGTTTGAGAGATTGAAGCCACCGAAGATGATGATGGCTGTGAAGATCTGCAGGGACTACGAATTAGCGGTCTGAATCAAATTTGGAATCAAAATCTTGTTTCTGGGACTTCAAGAGATAAAAGGGATGGAACCAAGCATGCTCAGTCTCTGTGTACTAGATATATGCAGGCTCGGTTTTCGGTCTCATCCCATACCTAAAAGCAGAAAGACTAGCACACATACCATAGATTTGTAGCTGAACTCTTCAACAAAACTGTTGAAAATCATAGCAAATGTCTTTGCTGTCACACTTGCGCGCGCAACCTTCTTAGGGTCACGGTTCATGCAAGTCTCCCACACACCACAGGCCTTCTCCATGGCTGGTACCACCTCCTGGGGCCGGCAGCGATTGCGATTGTACTCGGTGGCACAAGCAGCAATCTCCACCATGACCTCCGAGGCATGCTTGGAAGACTCGATGTCCACGTCGGTCATGACGCCCGCCCATGCAGAATAGACAATGTATATGAAGAGGCTGCCAAGAAACATGTTGACGGTGAGTTGAAGGTAGTAGGAGAGTACAGAAGGAAGGTTTGGATGGGCTTCGATCCACGACAAGAATCCACCGAGACTCATAGCAAAGGTTTGTTGAACAGGCCCCGCCTCTTTTGGGGCAATGGGCCGGCGGGCTTGATCGTTGTCTGAGTCGTCAGCATCGTCATCACGAAGGGCGACTCGCTTCTTAGACCGCGATCGCTCGGAGCGGCGCTTGACGATGCGGCTCTCTGCCTTTTTGGAGTAGGGCTTTTGGGGCTGGAGCTGGTCCTTGTCTCGTTCTCGCTCCTTGTCACGATCCTTGGTTGGGCTTGGGGTCGACATGAAGGTCCGCTTGAACCAGCTGTCGCGGCGGCCACCCTTCCTGTCGGCATCGCCATTAGCCAGTCGTCCCATCTTGTTGGCCAATTGTGTGTCTGGTGTGCCGATGTCGCTGTCTATCATCGGGGTGCCAGGGGTCTCGCCGCCTGAACTAAAGTCGATGTCGTGTGATGGGGTGCGCATCGACCAAGGGCTGGGCTGGATGTGTGCGGGTAGTGAAGAGGCTGGTGTGGAGGGCAAGGGCTTGCTCGGGTCGCGGCTGAAGTATGTCATGCGGTTGTCGGGGTCGCGTAAACGAGTTGGCGTCGCAAAGCCGCCTTTGGAGGGGGAGTCGACGACGGAGTGGGGGCCTGCGTGGCCCAACCAGGGCCCTGGGGTTAGCCGTCATGTTCCATCTCGCATGCCATGTGCGGAAATCAAGCCAACCGGTCGGAGAGTGCTTACGCTTCTTTTGCTGGCTGGCGGCGAGGAAGGGCGATTGTGCGTCAATGGGTCCTGTCTGATTTGTCCACTCAAAGTCCATGGGCGTAGTCGAAGGGCGGTGGCTTCGCGACATGGTGTCTGCCATCGACTGGGCCGTAGCAAAGGCCAGGCAAGAAAAGGTTCGGGGGTGGGATGTGTCGGAGCAGCGGGCGTTTGGCTGTTGTTGATCAACACCTGGGTTCCTGGGTGGCCACCTGCGGACTTCCGGCGCTAATCCCCATTAGGACAATGGCGGTTGCGCTGGTGCAGCATGGGGAATATGCCACGAGCACTCTACGTTGGCACCATAAGCTGATCTTGGTCACGTCTGCACTGAAATCATGTGACTAGGTACCTCGCTCTGCCAATGTACAAGTCATGTGTCCATTTCATTTCAAATCTACAGTGGCCATTGCTTCCCAGCCATACCTGGACCCTCCACATCTCTCTCTGGAGTATCAGGTATAGTTAGTCTATCCCAAACCTCAAATAGCAAACATGATTACCTACATATCCCAAACAACTTGGACACAGTCCGTCCTAGAGAATATTGATACAAACTATTTTGAGCTGAAAACGTGTTCTGGAAGAAGAAGGAAGAAAGAAGAAAGGAATGCCTCCCAAATTTTTAAAGTCTCACAACAGCCATGGCCAGCCTCGGGCTTCCTCTATGCTGGTGTGAGGCCGACCTTGACGCCATTCAACGAGCAAAGGGTCAGTGTTAGACCTTCTTGCCATGGCCCAGGGTCTCTGCTCTCAATGGCTTTGAATTCTTGTACAAGGCGGACAGTGACGTAGCTAGCTTCAATAAGCGCATACTGCTGGCCGAGGCAGATACGTGGGCCACCATTGAACGGGAGGTACTCCCACCCAGGACGCAGTGTCTCCCAGCGCTCCGGCTTGAACTCGTCAGCATCCGATCCATAGATATCCTGACGGCGGTGCATTGTGTATGGTGAGTAGCCGACTGTTGTGCCCTTGGGAACGAAGAGCGGTGACCGGCCGTCGGGACCACCACCAAGGGGCAGCACAGTGTCGCGGGTGGCGTAGCGTGAGTTTCCAGGTACAACGGGGTGGATGCGAAGTGCTATACGATGCGTTTAGTATGGGCATGCTACTACTGGATCAGCCAAAACTTACATTCGTTCAGACACCACTTGACGTATTTGAGATTCTTCAATTCTGAGTATGTCGGTGTGCGCCCTTCAAGTGTGGCAACCTCCTCCCTAAGTTTTGCGAAGATTTCCGGGTTCTTGGAAATAGCGAAGAACATGTTGCTCAGCAAACTCGCAGTCGTGTCGCGGCCAGCAAGCAGGATGTTGATGAGCTCTTCGCGTATCCTCTTCTTGTCCGTCGTTTGCTTTGCCACCTCCTGGATGAAGTAATACTTGTCGCCGCCAGCCGCCTTTTCAGCATCCAAGTTCTGTCGGAACTGCAGAGCATCATCGACAAATTTCTCAATGTATGTGTGGCAGATTTCGATGGCCCTCTTGCCTTCAGTATTTCTCCTGAAGCGATCAAGGGGGCCGTAGCGAGCGCGGACGGTAACATCTTCTTGTGCAAAGTTGAATGCCTTGCCAAATATGGCGTCTTCGTTGTCAGCGTCTTCCTGACCAAGCATGCGAAGTGAGTCGGTCGAGTGGTTGAACAAGAATTCGGTTGCGGTGTCAAGCGTCAAGTGGAAGAAGAGGTCTTGCAAGTCAACTGTCGAGCCATCCTTGGGAATATGCTTGAGCATGAGGTTGAAGTGGCGTTCGAAAGCATCAATGTCGGCAACCTGGTCGCGTGCAAAGTTGGGGCGTAGGAGATGACGGCTGTTGGCCCAGCGGTCACCATCTGCGTTGAAAATGCCATGGCCCAAAAGAGGACCAAAAGCAGGCTGTCGGTGGGCAAAGCTGTAGTCCTTGAACTTCAAGCTTAAGACGGCCTTGATGTTCTCGGGCTCGCAGGTCATGATGTAAGGCTGGTTGACGATTCGGTTGTGGTAAGTGTTGCCGAGCCTCTCGTAGCGCTTCTTGGTTTCTTGCAAGGTGATATGGTTTTTGCTATATTTAGCCATGGCCTTCATGACATCGAGCCCCAGAATAGGGTCCTTGTGAAATTGGGCCTTGCATGGCTGGCAGCCGTGCTCCTTCTTGAAGCGGCGGCGTGCGAGGTAGAGTGCGATGCGGGTATACAGAAAGTATGAAACGGCAGCACCCGCAAGAATGACGACGAGGGGCGATTGCGCCATTGTGTCTTGAGGATCGGGACTTTGTTGAGCGAGCGGATGGGTGTGTGGAGGGGAAGTCAATGGATCGTCGAGATCAGCCAGCCTTTTAATCAATGGCACAGAGATATGACTCGATGGTGGGGTAGCAGAGGTTCACTCCAATGTCGGCTTCTCCGATCAAGGTCTTTTTCCAGATGTCGACAGGAATGGGCAAGATGCGTTTCCTCTGTAGTAACGAAAGTGCGGTCGTGCGAGTTTCTCGGCCGAGGTGTAGTCGAATGGGTTATTGTTGTGGAATACCAGGCTTCTCCACAGCCAGCAAGGCTCGCAAGGCTCACTCTTTTTGGAATCTGGATGGACGTGCAGCAGGGAGAGAGTGTGCCAAGAGGGGGGGCAGATGTGCTTCTTATAGGCTCGGAAGCGGTCAGTCAGCGCTACATTTTGGACAATGTCGGCGATGGCGACGGGACCGTTAGCCATTCTAGCAGTGAGCTCCGAGACAGGAAACATCGGCATAGGCGGACTACGTAGGTGTACGCGGTGTACGCTCGGTGATGCCGATATGGCTGCAATGCTCCGACGAGCGCTAGGGGCAAAGCCAGTACCTGATTGGTCACTCCACCACCCGACATAGTGGGAACGTCGCATTTGGGGCAACCACCGTACCGCCGCTTGTATCTACCCACCTTCGGAAAATGCGGCACTTTTTAAGCATCCGCTCCGAAATTCTTGTTTTGTGGAGCATCCGTGTAGGGTGTGTGTAAACATGCTTGTATATTTATCTACTTTGTGGCGTGTGTGCGTTCACATGTATACAGATGTACATCGACTTGAAACCAAACACAATGCCATAAAACCAACCATTTCCAAGGTCAACAAATTCTGCATCCAATCAATCTGAACACGCTGTCGCCATGCATTTCCTAATGTTGAATGATGCTTTGGACCTCCATAAAAGAAAATCATATCGACAGGGAACCTCGTCCACATCGTCAGCCTATGCGGGCCCTGTATGTAAATCCTCCTGTACTACACACTCTGGCACCCTACATCTTCTTCACATGCTCCCCGCACTGTGAAGAGATCGTTACATACCGAGGGATCTCGTGCCTCGTCTTAACCCGACGAGATCCACTTCATGTGATTGATCGTCTCCCTTTCCAGGTACTCGTACACCTGCCCATAGTCTTTGCACACATGTTTGGCGTCCCATCCGTCACTCCCTCCTAGGTCCTGCCCATGCTCACCGCCTGGAAAGCTCGTCGCCGCTCCCTCGAGCGCTACATCTCCCGCACACATGATGGCCTGTCTAATATACTCAAAACAGTGGTTGATGTGCCACGGTTTTTTGATAGGGTCTACCGATGCCGGTGAGGCAACCGTAAGCTTCATGGTGTTATACGCTTCAAGTATCGTGTACAGGCAGTGTAACTGGTGCGTAACCGACGTAGTGAATACCGTCTGATTGGGGTAATCATGGATTGGATGTGGTAGGTTGGAGTATTCCGACGCATTCTTTACTTCGACATAGCCAAGGCCCTCTTTGACTTGGTCAGCAATGTTCGTATCCGAAAATGAGTAGCTTCACCCCGTACCTGGAACGATGCTCAGCCAAGCATGCTGCGTCTCCTTGCTCCAAAAATCCGTCGGCTCTTCAGGAGCAAACACAGTATTAGGCTTAAAACTAACAATCTGCTGGCCAAATGTTGGCGCAAACCCAGTAATGTCACCGGCAAGTTCGTAGAGATGGCCCTTTTCGTATTTCTGCCATCTCTTCTCGGCCAGAAGTCCTACAATCACCAACAGAAGTGTCGTGTCGATCATCCACCGGTACCTCCTCACCCGCCTCCACACTGTTTTCCTTCTCCGCCGAGGCTGAGCGGCATTTTCTGTATCCCATTCGTCACCGACCTCTGTGCTTGAATCGGAGCCATCAACGACATTGTGCAGCGCGTCATATGGCTGATGACGCTTCGAAGTATCATTTGTGGCAAACTCCATGGTGGACACGCCGTGGCTTGGTTTGTAAGGTGCAATTGCTGACATTGTGGATAGCTAATCTTTTGTGGATATGTACCATCTTAGTATATAGAAGCGAAGCGGCGCTTGTGCGGCATCATCTTCATCGCTGCAAATGATCAAACGCGTTTTGCGACACTAATCGTTCGATGCTACACATTGAGCCTCGGCGGGTGTCTTGGTGTCCGGTGATACTTTTCTTGGTACTATCATTAGCAGAAATCAGCCATCTTAACAGAGGCATAGTATGTGTGGCTTGCATGCAAGAGCGCTCCAGTGCTTGCAGCATCAGCTCGGGAAATAGCGCGAGGGTGGTAAGTAGTGGTCACGTATAGGGAGAGCTCAACACAACGCGCTGCAAGTATCGTGTTCCTGATTGGGCAGACCACACAATTTCACAATCTCAGTGCATGGCTTAGCATGGAAAGGAAATATAGGTAACCGTCTTGCCATGGTAGCCTGACTAACGCTAGGCAGACGAGGGCACTGTCCAAAGTAGGAAGTAGGTACAAGCACAAGAGGCAATAGCATCGTCATCGGCCTTGGCAGATGCTGACGCGCCCATTCGTCCTTAGTTACACGACCTCAAACCCGGCTGATACCAAATCACAAGGCCGGATCTATCCCGCACACCATCAGCATATCCATTTCACTTACTCAACAATTCACAAGTGTCGCTGATCGGTACCATAGTTTGGTGAGCGGAGAATGGACGCCGGTTTACCCTTCTTCAGTGCCTGTGCAGCGTGCTCTTTGACTGCGAGCAGCGATTCTTTAGCGGTATCATTGTTCGTGACGACATCCAAATCCTCGATTGACGACTCCTTGGGCTGAGAATACGCACTTTCTACTGATACAGCCTGATTGCGGGTGTTCTTCCGCTTCTTAGCTATCTCATAAGAATTTTGTCGCTCAAACGGCTTAGGTGAGACATTTCCTGAACGGATAAAGCGGGCATAGGCTACAGTAACAGAATCGCCATGGCCATGGAAGCGGGTGTCTGTTTCTTCGAGGCTTGAGAGATGGCGAGTCTTCGTGGGGTGCTTGTTCCATCTTCCCTTGCGCTGAATTTCAGGGTTCCGTACGAGTAATGATTGCTCTGAAGGTTGTAACAAATTCTGGCCAACATACGGGGATGTTTCGTCCATGGCATCCCCTCTTGAAACATCTCCGCTGGAAACAACCCCATTCAGGGGCACACTTGCAGGACGAGACGGATGGCAAGAAGAAGCGGTACTGGTAACCTGGCTGTTCGGAGGCGCTAATAGCGGCAGATCGTCTTTGTCGTCTGCAGCGCAGTCGAAACCCGTGGTTCGGTCATCGTCGTCTGGAAAGACTACAATCGTGGGCTTAAAGCTGTCTGATGCGCTGTTCCAGCTACCAAGCCAGCCTGCGAGCTTGAAATTGACCCGCTCAAGCCCCCGCCTGGCAGATGGACTGACCATTTCCAAAGAGTGGCTTGCAGAAGAGCTTCGCCGCCCTCTCCCTCTTACTTTCTGCTCCAGCGGCACATCATCCCATATCACTTCACAGCTACTGGTCTTTGTTTCTATGACTTGCATCGTCGGTGTGGCCGGATCAGGCCCTTCCTCATTGGTAATGTCGTGTGCGTCCCATGAGGGCGTGATGGCGACAACGTGTACATCGGTTCGTGTGATCGCCGGGTCTGCCACACTGCTCTTCATTGTGTGGATTGTGTTCGGGCACGATATATAATTACTGGCAGCTCTTCTTCGCGTATTGGTCGGTCTGGAGAGCGGTTTGGCCTCGTGCTTTGAAGTCTGGTGTAGGCTCTTGGGTATGATAACTGTGCTCGAGACCTGGGAAGAGGGTTTAGAGCCACTCCTTTCAAAATCGACGGTCTTGATGTGACAAAGGGCCTTGGAGTCATGATCTTCTGTGTTCCGTCGTAGTCCACTGAGCGACGTGATAGTGTCGTACTTCGCTCTCTTCTTGATACAAGACTTCAAGGGCAAGTGCCGATCGCGTGACCTTGGGTTCATGTATGCCTTGGCTAGGTCTGGATCCGAGTTGGAGCGTACCGCGGTTGATCTAGTTAAGATTGGTCTCATTCTCGTCAACATTCCATCTGTCGCCGGTTTACGGCAAGGCTGGCTAGGTCTCAAAGGATGTTTGGGAACAGGTTCTGTCCGCTCAAAGAGAAGGCTTTGAGAGCTCGCAAATGGTTTTGTAGCCTCTTCCGCAACTATCACAAGTCCGTTACGTGAGCTGATAAGAGGCCACCGTATGGTAATGGGAGATGGCTGTAGTGAAGTAGGCGATAGAGATACGGCTGCATGTTCTGGGTGGTGCATGTCATCTTTCGATTGGAATGCGTTCAGCGCTGTGATTTCCGTCCTTTTTTCTCTCCTTGTACCGTTCGAGACGGTCATATCGCTGGTAGACCTCTTCAATGAGTCCCTAGGGATAGTTTCTAAGCGTGGGTTGGTGGCATCTCCCTTCGCATGGCCTTCACCTTCCTCGATGCCGCGTGTGAAAGGATGGGGAAGCCCTGAGGAATATCCTCCATCTCCACTCGTGTTTGGCGATGGTGTTTCCGAAGGAGTGGGCTGGTCGGGTACAAGATATGAGATAAGCGTAGTGATTAGGTTGTCGCTAGAAGGTCTAAGCATGGCTTCCATGAGCGTTGGAACAGCTACAAAGGCAAGCCCTTATACCCAAAGATAGAGAGTTGCTCGTTTACTGTTAGGAATAGTTGTTCAAGTAGGACTTAAGAATCTCCGTGATGTCGATGAGGATTTAGGGGGAGAGTGAAGTCGAAGTGACATGTATGCTTGTTCACTTTGCTGCACAACAAGAGACGGCCATGACGAGGGAAAGTGTCCACTGAGAAACGGAAAGAGTGCATCATGGTCTCACCACGTCTATTTCCTCCGGAGTTCAAGTCTTTAGTTTACAGAAGCCGCGCCTTGAGCAATGTACAAATGTTACGTATAGTGAGTTAACGACTTCACGTGAAGCTGGCCGACATTGTACTTATTACGCGAAGGTAGTTGTAAGTACCAGAAATTCTCACTAGCGTAATGCGGATACAGGCAGTAAAAACGTATGGTGTTCATGTAAGTACCGTGTGTGTGTGCATACACAGATCTATCCGCGTGCGCCACCACCCAATGGGGGAGGTCGTGGTCCTCGGTAAACTCTCCGGTAGCCATTCACAGCCACTCTATGGACAACGTGTGCTTCCATCCCCCACGTCTGCATATCACTTTCAACGCAGCCACAAGGGGCTTCCCTTGCTAGGGCGCATGCCTGAATGTTCCTCAATGGCATTCCAGCAAAAGCATTCGTCCCCGCATCCCGCAATCTTTACGCTATGCGCCCGCCCCCATGGCTAAACTGAGCCGCTATGTAGCCATTCCGGCATGAGAACTATTGCCTCGCAATCCACGGCCAAACAAACAGTACATGTGTGGTGCGGATGAGGAGCATGTAGCTAGGATGTAATCCTTTACCCGACTGGCCGTTCATGTCCATCCCGCGCTCTATTTCATCTTGCAGCTATTAATATAAGCATGTGATAGCCCCTCGACCTCCCCTGTTCAGGCACGCGACGGTAGGCTAGCCATCGAAATGTTTTTCACCACATCCCTCAGTCTTCTGGCTTTCCCAGTAGGCCGGACCATCGCCGGCTCAGTCATTCCCCGCGACCAAGGTTCCCCAAGCCAAACTGCTCCCAATGTCACTACGTGCAATGACAAGCTGTACACGTATGAAAGGCTCGCAGGCTTTGGATCAGTAACGAGTGATGCTCGCGACAAATTTGGCGACACAATCGGTGGTATTGGAAGCGCCATCGCTTTCGAGAAGAAGTCATGGAAATACAAGAACGGGATCTATGAGGGCGTGGTCTGGGGCTTGCCTGATCGTGGCTGGAATACCCAAGGAACACAGAACACTCAGACTAGACTCCACAAGTTCAGCGTCAATTTTACGCCAGTCGAAGCTACGGTAGCAAAGCCAGCAAGTTCAAATCTCCAGATCTCCTATTTGGACACTCTGCTTCTTGCTGGTCCTGATGGTACACCACTGACTGGCCTCGACCCTACCGATACCATTACATATCCAGGGTTCCCTGTTCTTCCCTTGGCAAAATGTAGGCTTTGAACATTAGCTCCTGGGAGTGTTTACTGACGAACACAGATACCGGTAACGGCTTTGGTCAAGCCGGACCTGGTGGTGCTCGCATCTCTCTCGATACCGAAGGTTTAGTGCTTGGGGACGATGGAACATTCTGGATCAGTGATGAGTATGCTGCTTATCTATACCAGTTCGACCGTCAAGGCAAGATGATCAAGGCGGTTCGTCCCCCAGCTGCTCTTGTTCCCCAGCGCAACGGCACCGACAGCTTCAGCGCTGATTCCCCACCTATCTACAACCCTGACTTTCAGATTGTACCTGGAGACCCTACAAGCGGCCGAGGCAACAATCAAGGTTTAGAGGCACTCACTGCCAGCCCAGACGGTAAGTACTTGTACACGATGCTTCAAAGCGCCACCATCCAAGATGGTGGCAGCTCTGCGAAGAAGCGTCGCAACACACGTCTTCTCAAGTACCGCATCAAAGACAAAAAGACAACATTGGAGGCTGAATACGTCGTTCAGCTACCACTCGTCTCTACAGGACGTGTTGCTAGTCAGTCAGAGATGCACTATATTTCGGAAACACAATTCCTTGTTCTCGCACGCGACTCGAACGCTGGTCAAGGTGCTGAGGGTACAGAATCTTTCTATCGCAATGCCGATGTGATTGATATCTCAAACGCTACGAACGTTTTGGGAACAGCTGCCGATGCATTAGGTGGACAAGTTGCCAGCAAGGATGGTGAGTTGAAGAGCAATATTGTACCTGTTACTTACTGTCAATGGCTTTCCTACAACAACAATGACGAGCTGGAAAAGTTTAGTCTTCATAACGGTGGCGAACAAGATTCAAAGCTGCTCAACGAAAAGTGGGAGAGTTTCGCCTTGTTACCGGTCGACAAGAAAGACGAGATTGG